TTGATTCTGAGAACCACTCATGTGTGAGTTACAGACAATACGGGACCCCGACTTTCCTGAGCATTAGTACAGGTGTAACTTCCCTCTGACCTGCAGGAAACCCCATCACATTCTTGGATCCGAGGACTTGGCCAGCGGCGCCAGTGCCACCTTTCCCTGCTCCTCAGTGAACTCCGATTACGTCGGGTGCCAACTCTTTGCGGACCGTGGGCTCGTAACAGAAAAAGCTCTGTATTCAAACATATTCAAGAGCTAGTCTGGGGAGTTTGCAAGGGAAGCCAAGGCAACTTGTTAAAGGCCTGGGTAATAATCGAGAATCCTTTCAGGCTCCTCGAGCATGCAGATAAGCTGGAGTCCTGAAGAACCTTCCCAGAGCATGAGTGCGACATTCAGCCCCTTGGCTGCGCCGCAATAATGATAGCAATAGTAAAAAAATGTATTACTGTAGTAATAGAAAAACGGAATGAGCACTGATCGTCAGATCTAGCAATAATCGTAAAGTCTGGCACTTCTAACTCTGAAGCTTGGGGCTCGCCAGGGCCTTTCGATGGGCTCCCAAACCCAGGCAGGTGACATCTCCTTCCGTTGCCTGGCGGATGCCGTCTCCTCAGAGTGCAACAGACATGGGCAAATGATTGGGGCTACCAGTGCGGTAGCGGCTGGTTATGTTTGACAGTTTGGCATCGGCTATAACTCACGGTCGACACAGGCACTGGATGAACGCAACATCCACGAACAAGGGCTCGTGCATCTGTCCAGGTGTTGCGAAAGGACGTCAGCGGTTGCGTGTGCCAGGAGCATGGGCAAGCAACTGTGTAAGTAATTAAATAAGTCAGTGGCATTTCCGTTCCCAAAGTTTGGAAGCCTGCAGTGGCTGTGGCATGGGCTGGAGCTGGCAGGGCTGTAGGACTCCACCGCGCAGGACCAAGCGTGCAGCATTGCCCCATGCATGGCCACAGACACTTTCTTCGTCCAGCTGCCCGGCCCTCATCGATCAAAGCTCTCTGGGTCCAGCGCATCTGACAATTCCAGATGGGCTGTTCTGGCTCAGGACGGACACAGAGGCCTCTGTGGCCATCGGGGAACAGGCCAGGGCTCCTCATGAAGACAATCGAGGCTTCTGTGAGTGCCAGTGCGGCTCAGTGCTCAAATCCAGAACCAACCCAGAGCCCCCAAACACCCTTCATTGTGGCCCAGCTGGGCCCTCTCGCAGGAACCTGGTGGTCATGGCCAAAAAATGGCCAATTTTTTTTTGTGGAGTTTGCAGGTGAGCTCGCTGCAGACCGTATCCCGGACCTGCGAGTCAGCAAGGAGCACAGGATTCTTCTGTAGTTTAGCGTTGATTTCCTTTTGGGATGCTCAAGACATCCCCAAAGAACGAAACCTGGCTTCTTGGACCAAGGCCGCCCCCGGCCACGATGGAAGCTTCTCCGTGCTTTGCAGCGGAGGCAGGTCGAGCAAAGATGCATAGCATCGATTTGAAGAAGGCTTCCGTTGCATTTTGTATGGATGTCTGGTGGGTGGGTGTGGGTGTGGGTGTGGGTGTGGGTGTGTGTGTGTGTGTTTTTTTTTTGGTTGTGGATGGTCTACGCACAAACACACATCCAAGCAGGACTGCGTTCCTGAAGCAGATCTGAGCACGCAAGGAAGCATGTTCCGAAAAGCACAACCCCGGCCCGGAAGCCTTTCAGTGCAGGTGTTTTGCACCCGGATCTGACAACGTGCACGGAGCCGCACGGCGGCAACGAGTGACGGAACCGAAGAATCCTGGTGGTCGCCTCCGGCTCGGGATGCACCGAGTCTGTTCTGGTCGGACTTAGGCGTGGCTGCGACGCATCTACAGCTCCAGCTCAGGCTTTGCATCGACGGATCTTGCGATTTCGGACAGACTTCGAAGTTCCATGGTTCTGCCAATTTGCAAAGTGCTGCTACTTCGCTCACTAGTCTAAGAGCCAAAGAATCCAACAAGTGATTCCAACAAGCATGCTCCTCCCCTCGGCCCTGCGCAGCCACCTGTTGCCGAGACCCATGACCTGAGTTGCCAAGCATCTTGCCACGAAGCCGGAAAGTCTAGTGACCAGTGCCAGTCTCATAGAAGGCAAGCTTAAGAACTCAAGCTCGGCCCGACATGGAAGAAAAGTGAAGAACTGCCGAAACGTGTTTCAGTTTGCGAAATGGTACATGCTGGCCCCTGATAGCTGGGACGGACTCCTTGTACTCCATCCCAGACCCATCGTGTTGTCTGCCAGTTCAGCGTGGGTGGCACTGCGGCGCAAGCCACCACATCGCAGGCACTTGCCTCTTGCGAATTCAGTATTCAATGTTTCGATGCAGCAAGATGTAGGGCCGCTAAACGTCACTAAAGCATGTGAAGTTCTGGTTTTCTGCATCGAAGAAGCGATGCCGAGTAAACAAAGGGAAGTCAGCAGTCAGTGTCTCTCTACCCAAGTGATTTAATTATGCAGGATGCCGGTATAGAAAAGCATCGTTGTTGCCAAACCCTACAGCGAAACAGGCCGTGTCTCACGGTGGCAGCTTCGTTTGGGGCAGCTGCGCCTCCGTAAACCCCAACTTTATTGGGGCTTGGGCCTCGGTTGCAGGCTTTCGGTGAGGCGATGTGAGGCGACTGCGGAGCCTGAGGGGTTTAGGGCCGACAAGGCGGCTACCTGCATAGTACCTTTCAAAAAGGCAGCTGTTCTTAGGGTTTGGGGGTTTAGGGGTTTTGGGTTTCTGTTGTATTGTACTGCATTCCTTCATGCCGGCTTCATGTTTCCGTAAGGGGCACACGGGGCCCGGAGCATCTCATATATCACCATGAGCCACGACACCATCAGCAAATCCCAGGCTCTCGTACGCCCAGGGCCCGGGGCTTTCTTCCAAAGCCCAAAGTGTCCGAGCCTTTGAAGCTTGAACCTTAGATCCCGGCCCTTAAACGCTCCTGCCCCCCAAGGTCTATACTGTCGAAGACTTCTTTAGGCCTGCAAGCCCAAGTCCAAACCCCTGGATGGAGTAAGCCGCGCAATCTGGAAACCCTGCAATCCAGCATCGCTATAGTAAGAACTGGCCACAATCCTCAGCGTCTGGTGTAGTGCAGGATTTCGCGCTGCTTGCGGAGTCCTTTGGGTTGCAATCCCCAAGCACAAAAAGCCCTAAACCCTACTCTGAGTCTGTGAACGCCACCTGCCACCTCGGAGAGCTTCTGGTGGATCGAAGTGGCTGTGAGCCCGGAGCTTGGCTTGGCCGCTTGAGGTGTCTGTTCCTACCGGGTTACTGCTGGGATTCAGGGGCATATGTATATAATGTATTGATAGATATCGATGTTGTTAGTTGCTGTGTTTGCCTTCACCCTATCTATACCTGTGGGTGATGACTCTCAGGGTTTAGGGCTTATAGGGTTGATGATCCAGGGTCTAAGATGCCAGGGCTGCTGGGTCGTTGGATTTTGTGTGGGCTTAGAAGCAGCTTCTCGGGGTCAGGATCCAGGGTTTCGGGATCTATAGCGCTCTGTTTATGGGCCTAGAATCGGATTAGAATTTCGGATTCTGGTTACGGAGGAACTTGGAGCAAGAAACGTCTTTTTATTTAGTCTCAGAGACGACACTGTGCTTACCGTCCTGACTTGCAATTCCAAATCTTCGCTGTACTTGTGATCATCAAACGAGAAGCTTCGTTCTCAGCACACATTGCTCACTTTGTACCGGTCATTTCTCTTTCAGCGTCAGCGGTTGTGTCTTTGACTTTCAGCAGTTGTGTTACATTGCAGCCCATTGAACCACGTAAACATCTCTTGTGGCTGACACTGTTCTGATTCTTGTGGGCACCCTGCCAAGCCAAAGGATATTCTCTAGTTTCGAGGGGGGTGTTCAAGCTGCGACCCTAGAGATGTCGAAAAATTCTGACCATGCACCTTTTCGGATGGAAGGGTTCGCGCGCTTAGCTAAAAGACTCCATACCATACACTCTGCACTCTGTATAAGCCTAAACACCCCAAGCCGTAAGTCGTCACAGCGACAGTTGCTGCGACAGCAACAGTCAATACCAAAGCCCTTGTATCTTCAGCAAGTGAATGTTACTATGAGGCTACTTCACGAAACTATAGTACTACTACAAAACTACTACTGTATATATTGTTATTGTTATTACGTATTACTGTTATTGTTTCGTATTTTTACTGGTCTTGGCTATATTACCATACTGTGACGCCAGGCCAAAGCCTTGTGCTGCGGGCACCATGGCCGACTTCGCGCTGGGCGGCGCCACCGCAGAGCTTGCGGCTTCCGCCGGGCGCCCAGAAGGGGTTAGGGTTTAGGGTTTAGGGGAATTTTGTAGAATCTTAAAAGTCCTTCCTTAGGATTCAGACGACTCATTCTACGGCTTTTACTGGCTTTAGGGGTAGTGCTCCCAGTAATTAGCCAGTATGCAGTATGTGCCGCGACTGTTGCCATTGCATTTACAATCGATTGTTCCACGGAAGCTTCAAACGCCGTGCCTAGCACTATCCCCACAAGCTACTATGAACTGTGTACTGCAAAGGTTGTCGTTCTTTGCCGTAGCTTTATTACTCTCGTGCATAGTCGTCGCCTGATAGCAGTAGTGGTGCCGGTGGTTACGGTTCTCATGGCGGTTGCCGCTCCTGTTGTGGTCGTGGTTAGAAGAGAGGTAGTACTTAGTAGTTGTCGTGGCTACAGTGCTTGTGCGGGTGGTGGTGCCAACACCTGATTGTAGCAGTCCCTGCTGCAGCAGTAGGATGAGGGCTCAGGAAGAGAAAAAGGAGAGGCAACGCCGGTAGCTGCTGCAGCAGCAGAAGTAGCATGAAGCAACACTATCAATCAAGGGAGATCTGTGATTCGCCGTGGCCTGGAAAGAATCCGGAATCTGACCATTCCCACTAGTTTTAGTGTTCTTTATGTTGCAATTTTCGGGATTGCCCAACGCAGCTGAGATGGTCTTCCTAGATTACTAGAGATTTTCGAGACGGGCAACTGTCCGCCCAGGCATTCATGGAACACTTGGGCGTTGCAAGCTTCGACTGTGCTGCTGTGAACCCCGACTTCCATGGCACCTTCGAGGCGCCCACCTGTCCTCGTGTAGTGGCTGAAGCTAGCCAGACTGCAGAACTTGAGTTTAAGTCAAGCATCTGGAGCCTCAGGGTATGTCAGTGCTGAGCATACGAAACACTAGTCATACATGCATGCACACATGCATACATACATACA